GCCGCCGCCGCCCCGGCCGTCGCCGCCCGACGTGTTCGCGGGTTTCGCGCCCCACCCCGCGGGCCTGGGCCCCCCGACGCTGCTGGCCGAGCAGATGAGCGTGATCGGCAGCCGCAAGAAGAGCGTGAACATGACCGAGTGCGTGCCGGTGCCCAGCTCCGAGCACGTCGCCGAGATCGTGGGCCGCCAGGGTGAGTGGCCGCCGTCGGGGGCGCCGCCCCGGGGGTCCCCGCGCCGCTCGCCCCGGGGAGGGGGCCGGACGCGTGGGCTCCGGCCTCGGTGGCCGCCTGTGCGCCTTTGTCCTGCCGCCGGCCGCAGGAGAAAGTTGGGCGCAGCCCGCGCGCCTCCCCTTTGCGCCCCGGCCCCGCCGCAGCCTTTGTCTGGGCGCCTCCAGCCCGGAAAGGCTCCTGTGCGCGCGCCGCTGCACAGGCCCTGGCCGCCAGCCGTGGCGTCCCAGGGACCAGGGGCCGGGCTGGGCGGTGGGCTCTCCTCCACACCCAAAACAGGCATGGGGCGGGGCAAGCTGGGGTTGAGGGAGCGTCTTGGGTGGGGGGCGTCTGGGCAGGGTCAGGAGAGAAGTTTGGCCGCACAAAGAGGGTACATCTCTAATTGCCAGCTTGGGGGCCCGACTGGGGGTGGGGTCAGGACGGGATGAGAGAGGACCCCTACCCGGCTCTCAGCTCCAAGTCAGGGTTTTGGGGGCGTGGGTAAGGACTAGCTGTAAATCCTGCTGCTGGGGTCCCACCCCACAGCCCTCCCCTGCCAGGCCGGCTGGCAGCAGGCCCAGGGTGTGGGGGTCCCGGCAGCCGCATTGGTGGAGCGTCCCTGTGGCCGCCCCATTGTTCTCTTTGTTAGAGAGCCAGGCTGAGATTCGCAGGGTGACATCAGGCTGGCCGCCGCTCATTGGCCCTGGAGCTGCGGGGCGGGCGGGCGGGAGGGTGGTGGGCAGTGCCCGGCCCAGCACACACCCACCCACCCTGTTCGCCGCCTGCCCACCGGCCTCAACTTTCTCCTGCTCTCCTGCCCGGGGCCCCCTTCCCGGCTCCCAGCTCCTTGCTGATCAGCCAGGTTCTAGAACTTGGGGTGGGGCCTGGGCGGGGCTGGAGGAGGGACCGCAGGATGCTCAGACTGGGGTTCCCGTTTCTGGGCCCTTGGTAACAGGAGCTGGGGAGAGTGTGAGGGGCTTGAATCGCAAGGTGACCCGGTGCCCACACCACTGCGGGCGGAGGAGGGCAGGGATGCCCTGGACACCGCCCTCTAGTTCCGGTGGGTGTGGCGGTTTGGCTAGCAAGCCCAACGGCTTCGGGTGCAGGGGCGTTCAGCCTTTCCTCTGTCCTCACCACGTGTGGACACGGAGAGCCAGGCGTAGCGCTGGGCCGAGGGACTGGCCGTCAGGCATGGCAGCCGGGAGGGGGCGGGTGGTTCTCTGAGCCCTGCTGGCCGCCTCCCCGGGTAGGCACAGTGGCGCCAGGCTGGACAGTTCCCCTCCACCACCCTGTTGCTGCCTAACTATTTAGGACCCCTGTTCCCGCCCCGGCCCCCGTAACCGCATTGGGACGTGAAATGAGACGGCTGCCGTGTGCTGAGCATCCGGCAGCCTGTGGGGGTCAGAGGTGGAAACCGAGGCCTGGGGGCACTTGCCCAAAGTCACTGGGGTGATCTGCCAGCAGGGGAGCGTGAGGGTGTGTTTTGTGTGAACACGGGTATCCTGGCTCCCGAGGGTCCTTCCGGAGAGGCTGGGTGCACACGGGTGGTGGCGGGAGTCAGGGGGTCGTCGAACCCGTGGCCTTGGACTGAGCAGTTTTGGGGCAGAAGTGGACCTGGGGCGTCAGGCCAGGTGTGCATTTGGCACCCTTTCCTGGGTGCTGGCCTGGGTTGTTGCTGGTGGCTGACAGCAAGGCACACTCTGGGGGGTACGGTGGGTCCTGAGGGCTCATCCTGCAGGCAGGCAGCCCTGTGACCCCGGACAAATGAGAGCCCCTCTTTGTGATGGGGGGTCGGCACCTCCCTGGGGTTGACGTGAGGGTTCTCTGGTTCTGTTCCCAGCTCCAGGCTGGCTCACAGTAAGTGAGTGCAGGACGTACCAGGGAGGGGAGTGTGAAAGTCAGGACAGGTTGGCATCTCCCCGGCTCTAGAACCATCTGTGGCTCCCATCTTCTCTCACACAGTTCAAGCACACCTTGGAAGACTCTTGGTGGCCCAGCCCTGCCCCTCCCTCCCTCCCATCACCCACCCCACTCTCCATGCCGGGGAAGCCAGCCCCTGCCTACTGCTCGGTCTCTCCCACTACAGTGGACAGGGCCCCGGCCCCAGCTCCTCATCCTTTCTGTCAAACCCCAGGTTCAGGGCCGCCGCTCCCCCGCCTAGCCAGACCAGAGTCACGTGGAGCCGGGGTGGACCCTTCCCCTGACATCACTTGGCTGTTCTCCCAGCCTCAGTTTTCTTATTCCTAGAATGGATCCCTGCCCCTTCTGGGCACAGGGTGGGCGGTTACAACCCGAGAGCTCTCAGCTGCCCCGCACAGGAGCTCGACCTGCCCCATCTCGCTGAGCCCTGCCCGAGATTCCCCCACTTTCCAGAAGATCCTGTAGCTCTCGGTCACAGATGGGAAGACCAGGCTGCAGGAGGCAGCCTCGGGCCAAAACCGGGTTGTCCGGGCTGGGATTTGACTCCAAGTCTCGTGGGCTCTGCCTGCACCACAGGGAACAGAGGAGAGCCGGGGAACAACTTCCCACCTTGCAAAGCTCCATTTTATGGACGGGAGAAGAGGGGACTTTGAAAGGATGCGAGGTGGGTACCTCCCTCCAGCCAGTCAGCAAGGGTCTTCCGGGGCCACTGCACACTTGCCGTGGGTGTGACCCTCCTGGGGCCCCCTCGCTGGCCCAGGGCATGTCATGTCTGTGCCCGGCTGGGCTCCCCGCGCATAGTAGATCTTCTGCACACAGTGGGTCTGTAGTCACGGATGAGTGAATGGATGGTGCTGAAGGTGGGGCTGGGACTGGCGGCCGCCTGGGTCTCGTCCATCTTTGCTCTTGTCAGACCGAGGACAGTGGCCTCCTACTGTCCTCCTTGGCAGTGGGCCTCCTCTGTCCCTCCCGTGCCCGGCCCCGCCCCTGCAGGCCTCACTGCAGAGGTGTTGGTGGGGTCCACGCCTCGTGCTCCTCTCTGTCCACTGTGGGGCATAGAGAGAAAAGGGTTTCCAGGCCCAGTTTGGGGGCTCCTTGTGTTGGCAGTGTGGACACGCCCTACCCTGCCTGCGAGGGGGGGTTTCCATGTCCCTGTTTCACAGACACCCTTCTGTGACGTGGCGCAGCCTGGACTGTAGCCTACTTTGGCCCTGCTTTGGGGACAGCACCCCACGGGGTAGGGGTCCCAGGAGTGTGGGACTGACTTCATGGTGGCAACTTGTCCCAGCCCCGTCTCCACTTCCAGAACTCTGCCCCTGCTGTTCCCTCCCCCACACATGTCCCCCTTCCCAGGGCGGCCCCTTGGCTCCCCCTTGAAGTCTCGAGGTTTTGTTCATAAGCGTGGCCCGTGGTCACCTGCGTGGGCTCCCTGGGGGCAGGGCTCCACAACGGGGTCATGTGAGCCATGGGAGACCAAGGCTCTGCTTGGGGGCCCAGGGCCCCGCCCCTTTGAGGGGAGGGTCCGGCTGCAATGGGGTGGGGGTTGCGGAGGCAGAGCAGAGCGAGCCTCTGGGGTGGTCACCCACATTCCCAGGCCCTCCAGGCTCTGAGTTGGAAGCTTGGGGGCAGGACCCAGGAATCTGCATTTCAGCCAGTGCCCACCGATCAGTGGTAGCCCCCAGGGGTCCCCCCGGGTGTGGGACTCGGCCCCCTGTCACCACCCACTCTTGCCTCACTGTGTCATCCCCACTGGGGCAGGATTGTGGCCGGGGTCACTGCTGGAACCCCGCTTTCCCAGACTGGGCAGTCCCCCCCCCCAGTTCTGTCCCCTCTTGGGGTTTTGGTGTGGGTGGGGTTTGGGGGTGAACTAGTGTCACGGCTGAAGTGCAGAGAGCCAGCGGAGCCCCTGTCTGGGGGTTGTCCCCCCCACCCCACGTTGGCAAATCCCCTGCCCTTTCTCAGGGACTGGCTTCCCTCTCATGGCGGCTCTGCTAGAAGCAAACGCTTCCCGTGAGGTTGTCACCTTCCCATCAATTTCCCTCGAGACCCACGAGGGCAAGCAGCCTGTCTGGGGCCCCCGGCCGGTCCATAGCCCATTGGGTTCTGCCCCAAACCTGTGAGCCAGGTCTGTTTCTGCCCTCCTTGAGGACACTGAGGCACAGGAAGGTCCCTCAAGTGCCCAAGGCGATCCCCAGAGCACCAGCCCTTATAGCACAGTCCCCAGCCTCAGGGAGTTCAGAAAGTCAGGTGTGCGGTGTGAGGAGAAACTCAGAGTGTGTGCAGAGCCTGGCCTGGTGCAGTCAGGGTGTACTTCCTGGAGGAGGGAGCACTGGGCTGTGATTTAACACAGAGGGAGAAGACGGGGATGGGGGCGATATGAAGCTTACAGGTGGGAAATGTCATGTGTGGGAAAAGCGTGGCCAGGGCAGGGGAGCTGCAGGAGGGGGACAGGAGGGGTGTGTGTGATTTGAGAGCTGCCAGATAGGGAGGAGACAATCCCCTAGGAATGGAGGCCGGGCCAGCTGTGGGGCAGCCGCAGGTCAGGCGGGAAAGCAGGATCAGGGTGGGTTTGGAGGCTGCCAGTGAGGAGGATGGGGAGGACAGCCGACGATGGGGAGGACCGGGGTCTGGGCGTGGGGGGAGTGGCTGGGACCCAGGAGGCGAGGCCGGAGGTGGAGGAAAGCGGCCCCTCCCCGCCCGCCCCAGGAGATTTCTGCTCCTGACTCACCGGCCACTTTTGCTCAAAGCCCTGGATGGGGGGCTGCTGCCCTCCCTGGGCTGGGGTGAGGCTGCCCCCGGGACGCCTCCTGCCACCTCCCGGCGTCCCCTCGCATGGAGCAGCCCCCCGGCCCAGGCACCATCTCTTTGACTGGTCGTGCTAACTTTGTGTCTTCCGCTGCTGGAGAAGTTAGCAACACTGTTGTCGCTCTCAATGCTGCCCTCTGTTTGTGTGGAAACAATGTCCCTGTGTCCCTCCAGCCTCCCCAGAGCCCGGAGGGGGCTCTCCCGGACTCCTGCGCCCAGCTCAAGCCGTCTCGAAAGGCCCGGGGGTGGGGTGCGGTGGCAGGGACCTGGGTGGGCCTAGATGTTGCAGGGGCAGCTGCCGTTTGTGGAGACCCTGCAGCCACTCCTGCGCCCCCTAGACACTGGGTGAAGTGCACAGTCAGGGATCCTGTGGGATCGACCACACACACACTCACAGACACTCCTGTCTCTTTGGTGGGGTCGGCCCCAGCCCAGCCAGCAACGAGGAAGCCACGTTGCCATGTCCCCAAGCATCTCCTCTGAGGCCAGGACCACTGGGGGCCTTGGAGGCGTCCTGACTTGGGGCCCAGGAATCTGCTCTCAGGGGAGGGTCGCTTGGTCAGAAGATCAGAGGCCGTTTCCATAGTCTGAGCCTCGGTTTCCTTGCCTGTCATTTGGGGAGCTGGTGTCAGAGGGTCTGCATTAGTGTCCCGGGGCTGACATAACAAACGGGCTGCCTGGAACAGCGGAAATGGACTCTCTGGGTTCTGGAGGATGGATCTCTGAGATCAGGGTGTCGGCAGGGCTGCCATCCCTGACACTGGAGGGGACAGTCTGTTCCGTGCGTCTCCTGGCTTCTGGTGGCAGCCAGCAGTCCTTCGTGTCCCTTGGCTTGGAGCCACATCGTTCCAGTTGCTGTGTCCGCCTTCGTACAGCCATCTTCTCTGTCTCTGTGTGTCCCTCTTCTTGTAAGGACACCAGTCATTGGCTTCAGGACCACCCTCCTCCAGTGCAACCTCTTTTTAACTATTACATCTGCAAAGACCCTATTTCCAAATAAGATCCAATTCTGAGGTTCCGGGTGGATGTGAATTTTGGGGGACAATATTCAACCTACACGGTCCTCCTTGCCTTTTTGCCCCCCCCAGGACCAGAGGGGAAACTGAGGCCCTAGGAGGGATGGAGGGACATGGTGTGTCTGAGGATAAAGCCAACAAGGGCACAGCCAGGAGGTGGAGGCTCCCAGCCCTGGGCGCTGCTGGTCCCTGTAGTCGCTGCCGGGAGGGGCTGTCCTGGGGAGGGGTCCCCACCCTGACCGTGTGTCTCCCCCCCACCCCCTCCCCAGGGTGCAAGATCAAGGCTCTGCGCGCCAAGACGAACACGTACATCAAGACGCCGGTGCGCGGGGAGGAGCCGGTGTTCATTGTGACGGGCCGGAAGGAGGATGTGGAGATGGCCAAGCGCGAGATCCTGTCGGCCGCCGAGCACTTCTCCGTCATCCGCGCCACGCGCAGCAAGGCCGGCGGGCTGCCCGGCTCCGCGCAGGGCCCCCCCAACCTGCCGGGACAGACCACCATCCAGGTGCGCGTGCCCTACCGCGTGGTGGGGCTCGTGGTGGGGCCCAAGGGCGCCACCATCAAGCGCATCCAGCAGCGGACGCACACGTACATCGTGACGCCCGGGCGCGACAAAGAGCCGGTGTTCGCCGTGACGGGCATGCCCGAGAACGTGGACCGGGCGCGCGAGGAGATCGAGGCGCATATCACGCTGCGCACGGGCGCCTTCACCGACGCGGGCCCCGACAGCGACTTCCACGCCAACGGCACCGACGTCTGCCTGGACCTGCTCGGCGCAGCCGCTGGCCTCTGGGCCAAAGCCCCCAACCCGGGCCGGCGGCCCCCCGCGCCC